TCAGCTGAAGAATCGGACTCTGACTCATCCGATGAGGGTAACTCTACGGTGGTACACGCACCTTCGAAAACGAACGGATCCTCAAAACGAAAATGCTCCTCCCCGAAAGTGCGCCGTAAGAAAACTAAAGTCACTCCCAGATGATTGCAAAATTCCCAGGGCAATGGGGATGAAAAAATTAAATCGAAGGCTCCTACTGCTCCACTTCCTGGCTGCAGTAAGGATTTTCTGCCATTACCCAACAAAGATAAGAAAAACAAAAAAGCTGCTCCTCAAACTTCTCAAAAGAAATCCAAGTCCGAACGAGGTTTGCTAGCTTTTTCGGACATTGTGGAATTCATATTAAATATGTTCAACATACAAGACCCTCTTAGAAGCTTAGTTTGTGCCTTGCTTCCAACACTAGAATCATATCTTAAGCAATTGATTGTTTCATGGCCCCTCCTTGCATCAATCATATCTTTCGATGTATAATTCGTCGAACGAGGTTGAAGATATGATCACTGTGCTACAGTGGAACTGCCGTAGTCTAGTGCCTAAACTAGACTCGTTCAAATGTTTACTTCACAATTCTGATTGTGATATATTAGTTATCTGTGAAACATGGCTTTCTTCCGATAAAGCACTCAACTTCCACGATTTTAACATTATACGCCTGGATAGAAACGATTCTTATGGAGGAGTACTTTTAGGGATCAACAAGTGCTACCCTTTCTACAAAATTTCTTTTCCTGCTCTATCAGGCATCGAAATCGTCGCTTGCCAAATAAATGTGAAGAACAAAGACCTTTGCATAGCTTCAGTTTATGTTCCACCAAGAACCTCCATTAGCCGTAGTTAACTCTGGAATCTTGTTTCGATTCTTCCATCCCCAGTATTAATTCTGGGTGATATGAACTCCCATGGTACTGGGTGGGGCGATCTATATGACTTTCTAGACTTTCTTGTTCAATTCTTTACTAGAAAACAGCATTGTACCACCTGAATGGAGACAGGTCAAAGTAATAGCCATTCGAAAACCTGGCAAACCAGCATCTGACCATAACTCATACCGTCCGATTGCTATGCTTTCGTGCATTAGAAAATTGTTGGAGAAAATGAACCTTCGGAGACTCGATCAGTGGGTCGAAGCAAATAACTTGCTATCAAATACACAGTTTGGGTTCCGCAAAAGCAAAGGAACAAACGATTGTCTAGCGCTGCTTTCCACAGATATTCAACTGACCTTTGCGCACAAGGAGCAATTGGCTTCAGTATTCTTGGACATTAAGGATGCTTTTGATTCAGTTTCCATTGAAATTCTGTCAGACAATCTGCACAGATGTGGACTTTCTGGAATTTTAAATAATTTCTTGTTCAATTGGTTGTCAGAAAAGCAAATGAACTTTTCTCTTGGACAACTGGCAACTCGTGGACAGCAACATATGTCGGTGTGGAAACGGTAACGACGACATCGATCACGCAGTTTGGCAATGTACGGATAATGACGCCGCCAGAGAGCGACTTTTGAATACCCTCGAGGCCCAAGGAAGACAACCCTATATCCCTATCAGAGACGTGTTGGGTACCCGCGATCTCTGCTATATGCAGTCGATTTATGTGTTTCTGCAAATGTCTAGTATAAGAATTTAATTCCTTTGTCTTTTGTCTCTCTTTATTAGTTTTTGTTTGTCTTGTCCCCCGTCTCGATGAGTCTCATCGTCGCCCACTGGTCACCATAGCCGGTCGAACTCCAGACAAATCTAGAACCACACTACCGTTCATACTGGCGACATCGCTCTGATGAGACAACGATACCCTACCCCAAGCTCCCCCCCCCTTCACCCCTTTCCTATTCTTCGACAATGTACCACTCTAACCTCTAGTAAGCCGCGAGTATTCGGCCCAACTCCTACTAGACATCGAATTAAGTGAATTTTGTTACAAACAAAGAACAATGAATTATCGGCTCCGTAAAGCTAACGCGATTGAGCCTTACAAATAAACGAACTAGATAAAAAAAACGTGCTGAGAATGCTTCGGTGCACCCCTCGAAGACACGTCCCACAAAATCAATTTTCGATATCGCCCACGCATACACAACCATACATCAGTGTTCAAAGAGGAATAGAAAGTGCCACATATAGTTTCGGTATTGGTCCAGCATCGGCTGGTCATATACTAATTAGTGCGATAAGTGTTATTTTTTAACTGACCTGTGCAACTAATTCCGTCGCGTGATGACCAGAGGTGCAATACGATGCATTCACGTGTGTTGTTGGTGATGTTGACGAGATGGTGAAAAGCTTTTTATATTCTCTTCGGCTGTAGTTGTAGTTTTGCTATCTCGCTGGATGGATCTCGCATACAATGGCAGCACAACATGTTACAGATCTATGCAGCATCGATCAAGGGGACAGCTGACGGTAATTTCCGATTGTAGTACACTCCTAGACAACGATCAATACCGAAATTTTGCATAAATGTCCAACCCGTTTTTTGTGTGCTTTTTTATAGCATTCTGAAGAAACCCTACCTAAATATTAAAATAAGAACATTGTTGAGCCATAGCACTGATTTTCACTGTTGCCCAGTGCTTAGAGAGCTTTCATAAATAACGTAGTAGTTGAGGGGGAGAGAGGGGTTTCAGAAGTTGTGACGGGCCATGTATTAGGTATATCAAATCACGCTACGATGGGAAGGGGGGTAAGTGACAGATGAGTTACCGAATAACCCGCTATCCGAGCGTGGTTATTTCTGACCGACTAAATTTTGACAACCGTGACTAAGTAAACAACGCATTTGATCGTCGATTTGGCGTAACTGGTAGCTCACCCACGCATTCTAACACTACCATCAGATAAGGGAATTTTCCCCCTACCTGGTATAGCGGTGTTAGTATGCGTGGGCGAGCTATCAGTTACGCCAAACCGACGATAAAATGCGTTGTTTACAATAGCTGATATGTCCTTTCGAAAAAGTAATCGAGATTTGTAGGACGCGGGTTCGTTATCACTCTGGCAAGGAGGTAGATCCACCTAGGAGCCAGCGGCTACAGTGATCTCGACGGGAACAATGCACAAGGTTCGAGATGCAAAAATCGAATGCTGCGCGCTTGACAGGAACCGCCCAGGGAACCACTGCCTTCCTCCTACTGCTGCTGTTGCTGCTGCTACCTGTTCACAAGCCGTCCGCAGCGAAAATGAGTTAAGGCACAAAAGCAGCGCATTTTTATAACTTTTCAGATTCAAGCAGCACGATGTGCAAACCAAATGGTACTCGATTATGACGACTGGGTTTGGGGAGAACGTTTATTTCATGAAAACAGTGATAAAATTATTACTTTTTAACATTTTTCAACAGTTTTTATATGGAAAATTGGAAAAGTATTTATTGTAGCAGATTTTTAGAGTTTTTTTTTCCTTGATTTGGTTTCCGTCGATTTTGTTTTCCGTGCTGAGCACCAATGCTACCGACGCCAGGAAGGTAGCTCCCACACCTGGACCCTACCTATCGACCCATCCCATCAACTCATGAACCGGCGACCAACGGCTTTACTTCCCTTGCGAAGGAAGGCGTGATCAGAGATGTTATGTCTCAGAAAATCCCGGTGGCACCGACTGGGATTGAACCCAGGCCTGCTGGGGTGAGAGGTAGTCACGCTTACCACTACACCACCGGCGCCGCTAGATTTTGAGAGTTATTTCCTATCGATTGATGTATTTGGATTTTAATTTCATATATAAATGACAAAGTTATAAGCGTTCAAAACCTTACACCTTTTCGTGACGGTCGCAATTTTAGATTTTCGATTTACCCCCAGTACCTTCCCGTAAGACGTAGTCTACGCCAAAATCTTGATGTTGATAATAATTGAACCCAGTTTTATCGTACAATGGAACATTGATAGTCCCATGGTGTAGTTTAATCTCTCATTGGTGAATACGCTGGCAAGCTTGTTAGAATTCAACCGACAGATTTCCTCAGGACTGAAAGCGACTTCACCATTAAATACCATTGAATGGCCGTATTCCATACGTTGTTCGTTCACATAATTCCAGAATGATTTCAGGTGCGATTTAAGTTTGCTTTGGATTCCTAGTCGATGGCCCTTATTACCGATGTCGCTTCACGGTGAAGTGACAACTTATCACTCAAGGTAAAGTGATTCCCATTTGATTTACACGGCAATCACTTCACCGTGAGTGACAAGTGATCACTTCACTTTGTTTTCACCGTGAAGTGACACTCGTAATAAGGGTCAATATTGCAAATACTCGCCCACTAACTCGATATCGAGTTATAGAACCATAGTGAAAGTTAATGTCATGGTGCGACCGTGATCTCCAATGGGATTGTTGTTCTATAACTCGATAATTCTATTACTCGATGGTCCCTTCAATATCGAGTTGTAGAGAGTTCACTGTATCACTTATGGCTAAATAGCTTGAATTGATGTATACATGAGCCTAACGGAACGTTGTTTCAGCGGATGTGTTCGATTAGTACCTTATTAGTGTTCTATTAATCATCTGCTAGAGAAGTGCAACAGGGGAACAAAATTTTACCGCGGTATAAAGTGTGATATTTTCTTTCAGATGCGAATGTATGTTGGTATAATGCGCTGTTTCGTCACAATCAGGTTATCACGAGAAATAAGAACTTGTTGGGAAATCTCATGAGTTTTTTTTATAACAATGGCTGGTTATCTTATGTTCTTGGTTTTATTTACGGTTTCTCAAATATTGTGTCTGTTATGCCGTGGATACACTTGTATGACAAACTATGAAAAACTATACAAGTGTGACCATTGATGTGCTTATAATTTATTATACAAATAGTGCTCATGTTCATAGTTTGTCATACAAGTGTATCTGCAACAGAAAATCATTGATTTTTTATTAAAAATAATAGTTAATTAGTGAGAGTAAAAATATCAATGAGATTTCCCAACACTGCTTGCTAGAATTGTGGACCTATGAAATAAAAATTAAACGATCAGAATTTTCAGATAAGTCAAATTTATTTTCTCAAGCTTCTTTTTTATCAGTTACCCTTGGTGTATATTCTAAACGCCAGATTGATTTTCAATGTTTTTGCCAAATTAGCAGTATTTATGGTGTTACAAATCTAAATAAAGGTTGAGGACGATTTTCGAGAACCAAATGCTGTTGACATTAGGTAGTTCTTAGTGTAAGTGTTAAATAACATTTTAAATAAACAATAATCTATGCTTATCAAACTAATTTTATTTATCTATTTACAAGCGTAAGTCATGTTTGTAAGAGTATGGTTTGGTCTTTGACCGTTACTTAAAGGTTAATTTACATGTTTCATTAAAATCTATGATTTCTGGTGTGATGCATTTAAAAATCCTGTTTTTAAGATCATTATCAACATAGAATTTAAAATAAGTACCAAAAGGCCAATACAAGCCTTCTATTGGGATAAGCAAAGGGTGTTACTATCGATAGTGCCAAGAGTTTTAAAATAGATGACATGTTTCCTTGATTAAATAGATTCTATCTTTTCTATTCGTTTAATTTTTTTTTAATTGGATCTTGTACCGTTCGAAAAATGCATGCACATTTCTGCAGCAATCAGCGCACACGTAGTGAATCGTGAACAAGCGTGAATTTATACAATGAATCGTTCGCATGTACATCCAATATTATCTGCCACTTGAAGCAATTATTTTGTTTCTGCCAAAAATGCCTTAAAATTAAGCATCGGCTCTGTTTTTTAATGAATTAATTTTTGCTTATCAGTGCATTGAAGAATAATTAATCGACACATCTTTTGGAGTTCATAAAATGTATCAGTAATCAGCCATCTATCCATGCTCCTGACAGTACGTTCTATGAATTTTGTTGATACAGCTCATCTAATGTGACCTCAACTTATCCACTGCAGATTTAAGGGCTTCTTCAATGTCGTTAAATACAGGAATACCTTGTCGTTTGGCAAGATCTGATAGGTACACTCGACCCCGATTGTAATCTTTAATCGCTGAATTCGTAAGCTGAAATATGAAAAGAAAAAAAGTGTTTCAATAGACGGTACACATTATGCGATATTCGTTTGAAAGTGACATGCTAGAGATAATTTTCGCTTATTCCTGTATGGGCGTTGCTGATTGACATTTAGGGGAGAACAGTTGCTGAACTAACAACACTGCTGGTATACCCTACGTATAAGACAAATACCGACAGAAAATAAGCAAGAGAAGAATACGAGCGAGGTTTTTCTCAGGGAAAGAAGGATTACTGATTCAACCCGAAGGAAGATCGAGGAGTGGATAGACGCAACAGCGGCGAAATAGCGGGTGAAAACCGGAGGGCCCAAGAACTAAGTAATTCAACAACGTTCGACTCTAGATGAAGAAGTAAGCGAGCGTGAGTTAACTTCCTGGCCAGCATGCAGAGCAACAAAACGGCTCATGCTTTCTTGTCTGATGCTCAATGCAAACTTATCTAGGCAACTTACTTATCCAATAAATAAACTTACCTGTAGTCCATTGATAATGCACTCATTATGTAACATTTGTACACATAGAACGACATTATATCCCATTCCCATGTAATGTGCTGCCATCGTCATTGCTCCTAAAGACCTGGTTTGATTCGTGATAACAAACAACAGAATTCGACTCGCGTCTAATATAGCTGGATTAAATATCAACTCATCGTTGTTTGTCATGCTGATTTCTCCAGTTTCACTGAAATTGAGAGAACCTTCCGGGCTTTCATGGAGATTGGAAGTATAGAATGTGATATTTTTAGATTTCAGATAAGGCACTGCGTACTTCTGTCGCCAGTTGGTTAGCATCCAACAACTGCCTCCAAGATACAGATCACGGGGTTTCAGACCATTAAGTTCACTATGGTCAGATGAATCATTCGAATTGCTTCTTTCAGTGACCTGTGCACTGGCGACGTCATTCCTCTGCTGCAATTGAACGCAACGGTTTGTATTGGTGTGATCTTCATTTACTGATTTGTTGTTGCTGATAAGCGTATTTTGAAATGAATTCTCAAAAGACGTTGATGATGAAGCATTAAATGCATCATTATAGTACGTGTTGTCACCTCCGCTAGCATTGAGCGTATTATTAAAAACCTTCGTTATACTGCTATGGATAGATTTGTTCTTGGTATTTATTGCAGCATCCAGCGTGCAATTTTTTCCAGTACTAATAGGTGAAGGAGGCACACGATGATTCCATCCTGGAAAAGAAAATATTAGGTTATCAGTTAAAACGACAACACAGCCAATTATTTCAGATCTTTAGTTTAATCATGCATTTTTTAAACTTCTTAGACCTGTTTGTATAAAGGGACTCCTACGAAAGGCTGAAAATCAAAAGACTGAATCACGAAAGGTTAAATATTGAAAGGCTGAACAGCACAAATGGCTGAATGTTAAAAACCTGAAAAAAAACAGCCAAGACACGTACAGCGAAGATAGCGCGCCATCCTATGCTGTTAGTATTCAGTTGCTCAATATGCATCTCGAGAATGACATTATTATTTCTATAATTATATTTAAAATTTCGTGTTGAAAAAAGGCCGCATCATTAATTATCATATGATTACCCGAATAAAAATTTACCATTTTAAAATAATAGAACATATTGTTACAATGCAATCGAATCTATTGTAGCCACCATAAATTGTATTATCAAAAACAATAAAAAAACAAAGTGGAACTTATTGTTATGTACAATATAATCTATTGTAAATGACACTTTTACAATAGAAAAGCGGGTTGTTAGTTTCCGTATCGATAAAACAGGGTGTCTACTCAATCCAATGAATGAAATTCCCTGAGTTTTCCAGGTTTTTCCAGGTCGGATGAAAAAAATTCCAGGTGCATACAAATTATACACATTATTTTTTTTCTATTTATCCATCTGGAATCCTTTTTATGCACCTATTGATTTGTTATTTTCGATTGTTCAAACTTGGTCGTTGGTACTTATTAGTTATTAGTTTTAATAATTTTGTAGATTTTCGTATCGTCTGCATAGAAAACGCGGCATCCTGATGGTATCACCAAGGCGACGTCGTTTAAAAAGATCGAAAATAGTAGCGGTCCTAGGTTACTGCCTTGCGGACAGAGTTGCGACCTATCACAATCACGATCGCCAAACAGCTGATGGTAGTAACACTTTGTACATTCCTATCAATGTGCTCGTCGAAGCTCTCTCCATGACCATCCATCAAGTTGACGAAAGAAGTAAAAAGCAACTGGTGAATGTCGTCTTTTGTTGTGATCCATCACCGATCTGGTCATTCCCGACAATCACGACACTCATCTGTGCTCATTTTGAAGCAGTTGCTGCTTTGCTTGCTTATGTGAGTGTGTTGGTGAGTGAGCCTAACAGCTTCCGTTTCATGTTGCCTGCTTTGTTTGTAACTCACACAGTCGCGCCCAAGGTGACTACATATAGGTGTTCTAATGTATCAAATTCACGATTCAGCCATGTTGGATTTTTGTATGGGACAGCGACCGAGTTTGTTTACAATTTGCTCTAAAACCGCACTTTTTTCGCCAGATACTTGTCCAGTTCAGTGCCCTTAAGAAAAGTTTCGGAAACTGAACGAAAATCTTCTTTTGAATTACGAATGAAGTGATAATTGGAGAATTCCCTGAGTGGAACCAAAATTCCCTGAATATTCCAGGTTTTTCCAGAAAACATAAAATTCTCTGTAAATTCCCGGTTTTCCAGGTTTTTTTCCAGATAGTAGACACCCTGTAAAAAAAAACATTTTTTATGGAACAAATTTAAAATTTTTTTATTGTTTTTTTATTGTTCAAAATTGTTATAACATAAAATATATTGTAAATCTATTGTGGTGACGATTTGATCATTTGACCAATACAATACAATGATAATAGGGTTGGTTTTATTTATTTTTATCCAGGTAATTACAATTGATTCGATCTTCTTCTAATTATAACCCGTTCACAGTAAACGGGGCTAAACTGCAAAAGTTTTTATCAATTGATGCAGTCTGTTTAAATCTCCTAATCCTTCCAATTTCAATACAACGTACACAAGACTCCTCAACTAAATAAGGATCAATAGTATACTGCCAGTTTGCTTACAGTTGTGGACTCAACAGCACTTGTTTCTCTCGGCATCGATCGCTTTATCGACAGCAAATGAATCGATTCAAAAAGATCGATTAAAAATGATTGATTAAAGCGGTAAATCGATCATTAAAAAAAATCTATTCACTAAGATTGATTCTTGCCTCAAGATCGCCCAATGCTATATCTAGTATCCCGATCACATACACTCAAAAAATTTATCACATATCTAATGGATGAAAACCATGTGAATTTCACATAGCTTTCATGTGATCACATAGCTAGAAATCCCACCACAAAATCACATGAATATTATGAGGCCGATGAAATTCATATGTAAAATCGTATAAACTTAACGTGATCGCATAAATGTTATGTGAAATTCAGATGAATTATATTAATTTTGTTTATGGATGTACACTTAGTTTTTTCTACCGAGCTCGGCTGTGCAAATCTCGGCAAAATAAGTTTCACTGAGATCTCAGCAAAAGTGACATTTGATTGCTGAGTCTCGGATAATGTTTAGCTGAATCTCAGCAAACAAATGAAATGTTTGCTGAGATCTCAGTAAAAAATCTTTTGCCGAGATTTGCACAGCCGAGCTCGGTAGAAAAAAACTAAGTGTACATCCATAAACAAAATTAATATAATTCATCTGAATTTCACATAACATTTATGCGATCACGTTAAGTTTATACGATTTTACATATGAATTTCATCGTCCTCATAATATTCATGTGATTTTGTGGTGGGATTTCTAGCTATGTGATCACATGAAAGCTATGTGAAATTCACATGGTTTTCATCCATTAGATATGTGATAAATTTTTTGAGTGTATGTGATCGGGATACTAGATATAGCATTGGGCGATCTTGAGGCAAGAATCAATCTTAGTGAATAGATTTTTTTTAATGATCGATTTACCGCTTTAATCAATCATTTTTAATCGATCTTTTTGAATCGATTCATTTTTCAAAATGGCACAAAAATGTTTCAAATATAACAGATCATAGTAAAAATTGTGCAGATTAACGCCAAGTTCTGTCTAAGCTTAAACCAAGTGAAATATCTTGGATTAGTACTAGACCAAAAATTTACTTTTAAAAATCACATTGAGGGCATTCAAGCCAAATGTAACAAATATATAAAATATTTTTATCCTCCTATAAACAGGAAATCCAAACTTTGCCTGACGAATTAACTTCTAATATTAAAACAAGTTTTTAGACAGGCCATGCTTTGCCATGCCGCTGTGCCAATATAGTCTAGTTGTTGCACCACCGACAAACCGACATGAATGACCATAGCAAAAACAATAAAATGTCTGATCAAAGCACACTAATGACATCTGGCTCCGGGTTCGCGGGAATATTTAGCTAAGTAATGCGCATGCAAAAGTTATGAGTTTTTCGTGTTTGATCAATTCTGAACAAATTATTTTTATCTAGATCAAAAAATCTTATGGTTTGGACCACGGGGCAACAAACAAGAATTTCGTATAGGGGTTAGGATAACTGGAACAGCCTACTCTTTCTAGCATTTAGCACTCTCATAAGTGCGTATCGTGATGTCACCATGCCTTATTGATGGGTACGATGCAAGTGTGAAAGAGTAAGCTGATTTATTCTGTCATACCTCCGTATTGATCAAATCATTTTCATGCTACGTCAGCGACGTCCGTTTTGTTTACAAATTGTAGGGAACAAGAAGGAGACTTTCTGAATTTCGCGATTTTTGTGGACTTTTGAAATATATAAAAATCTTTTACATCTTCTGCTGTTGCATTACAAACTTTTCCAGAAACGAAAAATTCGTCCGATTCGATTCGATCTAATGCACTGCTCAATTCCATCATGCTTCTATGGTTCTGCCCTGGATTCTGCAGGAAATCGGATTTCACATCACCGGTAAATGCAACATAATTCTATTTAATGCACATTTTTACTAACAGCACGATGAAAATATTCACAGGTATCCGCGGAATCCGGTTCAAAGACTTCGATGGCAGCAGGCATTATTATCAATTTTACCCTTTTTGCCAGAAGTCTTCACAAACGGTGAAGATTTGATAACACAGCCACGGATATGTTCGCACCATTTCCAGGAACAAGATTTTTATTTGGCTGGAGGAAAGAGAAGGCTGAAATGTAGTGCTGTCCCAAATTTAAACTTGGGAAGCTTCGATAAGGAAAACGTTATCAGACGATAGCCCGGAAAAACGTGGATATTTCAAGCTCGAGTAATCTGGACGCTTCGAAAAGAAATTTGCTTTCAGAGCAGTCGCGGAATGTTTTCCAATCTTCAACACATCAGAAGTTATCTGTGGATCACTATTGGCTTCCAATCGCTTTAAAGCAACCTTCGGTGGATACCAACAAATTCAATGAAATGGAGTGGAAAATAATGGCGAGCAATGGGGCATTGGATCGGGCTCCCACCTCCAAAGTAGACGATCGAAACCAAATCGCATCAATGGTGAAACCTGACAAGAAGATAAAATTGTACGCATTGTTGCCTCATTGGTATAATTTGTATTAATCACTACATATTTATATTTCCAGGTTCCGTTATGCAGGTGACATTAAGAACGTTGACGATTTGTCCTTTGATGAGTCTAAGCAAGCTCTTCGAGTAGTGCAACAGCAACTAAAATCATCCCAGAAGAACATTAAAAAGTTGAAACAGCGAAACCTGCGACTCAAGAGGAAATATAAGTCGCTAGAATCTGTGATGGAGGAGTTGAAGGTCAGAGTACTGATATCTGGCAAAGGACAGTTATTGCTTCAGGTATTATGATCATAGAGTACAAACATAATGTTTTTGCTTGTGAGTTTAATCAAGCAGCTCGCTGTGCCCGAATAAGATTAACGAACTTAACAATGTTTTCTTTCTATTATCTCCAGACTTACAGTGTAGACTCTGAGCTTCAAAAAGAACTAATTTATGGTCCTCACGGACAACCGTACAGTACAGCTCTACGATCCTTCGCTACCACACTATTGTATTACTCCCCAAAAGCTTACCGGTTTGTACGAGAGCAGTTTAACAAAAAGTTTCCACACGAGAATACTGTGGTACGATGGTACAGACGCGTGGGTGCAAGCCCTGGCATTACAGACGAGGCTTTGG